ACTGCACACAAAAGGCTTTCTCAGCAATTTCCAACTTGTTTGCACCAATGCGAATGTAAACCCCAGATTCTCCATGCTGCAGGCAATTACCCAGCAGAAGCTGGGTTTGGCAGATGAGGGTTAGAAGGGTCAGACTGAAAGCATGAATGCTTCCATCACATTCTAAAAACTAGTTTCCATTGTATAGGATTTGAGGATATGCTCTTGCTTGAATGCAAAAAAAAAAAAAAAAAAAAATACCCTTAAAGACCCTGCTGACATGCCGAAGGGGACAGAACAAGGACTGTGGAGTCAGGAAGTCTGAGCTCAGCTCCCAAGAACAGGTCACCATCTGTTCATCTCACAGGAACTGCCCCTCGACAGACCCTGTGCAGGTGCTGAGGTTACTGACAAACAGAGCATGGTCCGTTGCTGGGAGGGGAGATAAACACACGAACAAGCAATTCCTGGACAGTATGACAAATGCTGAGTGTGTCGGACAACAGTGCAAAGTGCCATGGCCAAAGGCTGGATGTTTGGGGGAAGTGGACAGAACTCGCGCCTGAGGACTGAGGTCGCCACAGACACATATGTGAGGCCCCTGGTCATGGGGGAAGTGGTTGGGAGAAAGGGGAAGGGGGAAGGGGCTACAGGCTGAAATTTGTCTTCTTATCCCAGACCCATTTGTGATTTTGCACATGTTCGGGACAGGCTTGTGTGCTTACGTGTGTGACTGACCCATTCATGGAACTGCCCCCCAGAGAATGGGGGCTCGGCCACGTGGCCCTGGGTAAGTTACATCCCTTCGCTGAGTCTCAACTTGCTGTACCCCAGAGTTGCTTTCAGGACACAAGTGTGAAGGGTAGCACCTAGCCCAGGGCTGCTGCTTAATAGCCATTGTCTTTCTCTTTCCCGAATGGGAGTTCTCAGATTTACAAAATGCTTTCACCTGCAAGTAACGAATCTCTAGGTTCACCAGAGTCCTTCTTGCCTTTGAATACGAACTGAGATTTCCTTCAGTCTGAATTTTCATAGCTGGTAGGACCCCCAAAATCATCTCCCAAGATTTCAGTCATACACACGAGCAAATGTTCCAAGATTCCTTTGCCTCTGGTCCCTGTGTTCCCACATGGTATCTTAATTAGACCCAAGGCGTGCAGACCTCAGTCCCTTCTAGAACCCACAGGAGACGCAGGCACAGCAAACATCTTTGTTGTATTTTGAGGGCCTTGCTGGAGATGTAAAAATCACTTGGGGAGCGATCACCTTGGGCTTCACCTAATATTCTGCCATTTGTTCACCCTCACACCTCTCTTATTCTGTCCAAGCCCCCAGTGGGTTTATTTTTCTCTTCCACTGGAGTCTCAGCAGAAGTGACACAGAGGTCCCAAGGATGCAACTTCGACCCCAAACAAGCTTCAGAAGGCACTTCTCCAAGAAAGGCAATTCTCCCTAAGAGGAATACCTACCGTTAGGCAAAGGCAATTTTCTCTGTCTTTACAGTTCATTTTATGCTCATTAAGAGCCTTCTGAGACTAGTGTAATAATTTCCACTTTATAGATGAGGAGATGGAGGCTCAGCGATGAAGTACCCTTGCCCAAGGTCACACAGCTAGTGAGCTCCAGAGTTGGCTTCAGGCCACGCTCCGATCAGCACCACTGTGCCTGGGGCCTGTCGTGACAGTCACACATGATCAAGAAGGAACAAGCGGCTTTTCCTGTATCCCAACCTTTCCACTCTGGGAGAGTCTCTTTGCCGTGTGGCAAGATCACGATGTTCTTGTCTTCTTTAAAAAGATGTTCCTGCCTGTTACTCCTTTAAGAGAAGCAGAAAGGTGTTTGTGTGCACACCTCTAGAGGTGAGCTCCAGGGAGAACAGAGACCAGGGGTCAAAAGGCCCATGGTCACCTTGGCACTAAATGTGTTTATGTCACTGCATCACCCTCTCCCTCAGGTCCTAGGCTCCTGAGACCCAAGTCATTATTGCCTTATAGCATTTGGACTTTCTCACAATGTTCTCTTCAAGTCTTCCCAGACTCCTGATGAAGGTGACATGCCTCACGTATATGTTCTTTTCCTGGTCTCAGTCTTCGGTGGCATCAAGGTGCAGAGAAAACACAGGTTTCCCACTCTGGCAGACCTCAGATCTTGGCTGTACCGCTCACTCTGTGACTTTAGACCAATCATTTTGTCTCAAAGAGCTTGGTTTTCCTCTTGGACAGAGCTAGTGATGCCTTTCCCCCAGGCAGTGAGATTTACAAAATAGAGAGTGTAACTGATAACTTACAGAGACTCTTTTTTACATTGCACACTACTTGTGGGGCAGGCAGACACAAGTTCAAAACCCCCACTTTGTCACTTGCTGGACTTGCTACTCTGTAGAAATTCCTGTACCCTTCTGGACCTCAAGTTACTCATCTGTAATGTTGAGCTGGGCCATCCTTCCCTCCCAGGTTGATACGATGGTTGAGAAGATAGAACCCAGCATTTGTGGCTGTGGCTCCATCAATGGTGTTTTGTTTTTGTAGTTTTGTTTGTGGGTTAAGGGCATAATGGAGATCTCAAAAATTGTATTTAATTTGGGATATGGTACATTTTAAGATGGTCAATAAAATATAGTCTTAGCCTGGGGCTTAAATGGGTCTTCAGTGTTCCTATTCTCACTGCCTCAGGAGGGAGGCAAGAGTGCCATGTGGGTGAGTGTTGTATTGGGGCTTGGCATCAGTTTGGAGGGCACACCCAGGGGAGGAGTGCTGAAGAGGCCCTGAGCAGGGGCAGTGGCTCCCTGCCAGCAGAGTTCTGGCACCTGGACAAATGGAGAGGCTCCAGCTAGGCAAGGCTGGTGGGGATGCTCGGGGCTTCCCAGGAAAGCAGTTTTTCGCTGTCTGTGCACTTGTGCACCTGTTCTCAGTGCAGTCTGTACAACTTTGAGATGTTTAGCCAGCAGCCGCAACCCTACCAGATCATAATCCCCAGCCACGGGGAACGCATGTCACCTTCAGTTCCACAGCAGGCCCTCGGCAACAGCTTGCTCGGTGTCACATCCTCAAAGTCACCCATTTGATTTTGGGGTGCTGGTTCTGCTCTGCACAAAGGACCTGTGAGCACAAGTAATTTGGCTGTAAGAGGGACCATGAACTCCTCAGCAGATCAGGGGCTGGGGCTGTCCACTATCCTCAACACCCTGTCTCCCGCAGCCACGTGGGCAGCTCTGTGCTGGCTCGCCAGGTGTCCTGACATTCCTGTGAACTGTGTTCCTTGCTGAGACTCTAACACAAGTTATAGGACATTTTCCCATAGGGACAGATCGGCTAGCACCAGTAGCTCTCCCTCTTTCTAATTGCTGCACTGGTGCAGAGGTAGCCTTACCCCTAAATGCTCTGAGGGGATTGGAGCAGAGGGAACTCTAGCCCATCGTGTTGCATAAGGGTGCTCCCAGCACTGCCACTCACAAGGCATTCAGGGTAGACACAGCATGTGGAATACTGTTATTACTATTACATATATATTATTACTATTACTGCAAAACAAACAACACTCTCCAGTTATATGAAGAGTGCTTATTAAGTCCTAATTCTAACTGCTGTACAAACGTCTCGTCTAACTTCCCCTTCCCCGGCAATGAGGTTAGCTACTATTATCATGATTTTACAAATGAAATAAAAAGTGGACCCAAAGAGGATACACAATTCTGTTGTCCTATAAGTATGGGGAGAAGTACTGATTTAATCTCTAGCCTGTGCTTAACTCCTCCCAGAGAAGAAAATCTGACACAAGAATTTCTGGGGTGTCCATCACATGAGAAGTTATGTTTCTACCATAACAAATGTCCGACCCCAGAGCCAGGCATGGTGGATGATGCCTGCAATCCCATCACTTTGGGAGGCCAAGGCAAGAGGATCGCTTGAGCCCAGGAGTTTGAGACTAGCCTGGGCAACACAGGGAGACCCCATATCTGAAAAAATTAAAAAATTAGCCAAGCATGGTGTAGGCCCACCTACTTGTGAGGCTGAGGCTAGAGGATCATGATCACTTGAGCTTAGGAGTTTGAGGTTGGGACAAGCTCTGATCATGCCACTGGACTCCAGCCTAGGAGACAGGGTCAGACTCCCATCTCAACAAAACAAAACAAACACCCCCAAGAAACGAATGCCTAAACCTCAACATAAACTGAGCTTTATACGTGAGGATTTTTGAAAAACATCTTGTTTGTTATAACCTGTTTTGTATATGAAAAATCTATTTAATGTACATAAAGTATAAATAGAATATTCCTAATAAAATGAGACATAGACGATGTTATGCCTGGTGACCTGCGACCAAAATCAGTAGGAAGCGTGGAGTGGAAGACAGCATTAGAGTGAGAAGTCGTGCTCAGATTGGCTTTTAGAATGATGATCCCAGAGGGGTGGCTTAGGGAGAAAGTGGAGAGGAGACAAGAGGGGTGGAGGACTGTTGTGAGAGATTAGGAAATGATGAACTGTGTACTCAAGGAAAGGAGCGCAGATCCCAAAGCAGAGTCGGTGGGTCGTGATGACTGCATGGATAAACTGGGTGTTGCGGGTTGAGGCTGTGACTCAGTTTCCAGCTTGTGCATCTGGATGTTGTTGGCCGAAGAGGAGAGGTTGACCTCCAAAGGGGACAGGTTGTGGCTGGATTCAGAATAAGGAGGCAGGTCAGCTCTCAGCAGCCGTCTAAGCATATCCCAGAAGTGGGGAGTGTGCTGTTTGTGGTATCAAGAAGATTTTCACTGGTGCTCTGGTACACTCTTAAGGATTTAACAATTTCACATTTATTTTTGTGGTTAACATTTATTTATGAGGTTTTCTATTAGACAAGGGAGACTGATTTAAGGAAAAGTGTTCTCTAAATTATACTGCCTGTGGCCAAAATCATGATGGCAGTGACTGAATGGTGGAGATACGTTTGGAAAAGCTGTGCTCCCTGTTTTAGCAGAACATGTGCCCCAGCTTCCTGGCGGTCTCCTCAGAGCCCTTTTTTCTTGCCTGTGTGTCTTGCAGATCCAGTGCATGGCCCACAGAACGTGGAAATCGTGGACATCCGAGCCCGGCAGCTGACCCTGCAGTGGGAACCCTTCGGCTACACGGTGACCCGCTGCCACAGCTACAACCTCACCGTGCAGTACCAGTATGTGTTCAACCAGCAGCAGTACGAGGCTGAAGAGGTCATCCAGACCTCCTCCCACTACACCCTGCGAGGCCTGCGCCCCTTCATGACCATCCGGCTGCGACTCCTGCTGTCCAACCCTGAGGGCCGAATGGAGAGTGAGGAGCTGGTGGTCCAGACTGAGGAAGACGGTAAGCAAGGGAGGAGAGCTTACCTGGGAAGGGGGATGTTGAATCTGCTCAAGGGGCCATGCCAGTCAGTTAGGAGGCTTTTGTTTTCCCTACATTGTTAATTCCCTCAGACACACCTTTCTTTTCCAAGGTCTTCAATGAAGGAAAATGTAGGCTATGCATTGCACACCTCCAGGAGGTGCTTCTCCATCACAGTGACTGCCATAGACATGCACTCAGCTTTGGCCCTTTTGTACCCCCATTCCCCTTCTCACTTCATACCAGTGTATTAGAACATTCTTGCATTGCTATAAAGAAATACCTGAGACCAGGTAATTTATAAAGAAAGGAGATTTAATTGGCTCACAGTTCTGCAAGCTGTACAGAAATCATAGCACTAACATAGCTTGGCTTCTGAGGAGGCTGAGGAGCTTTTACTGATGGTGGAAAATGAAGTAGGAGCAGGCACACGACGCAGCAGAAACAGGCACAAGAGAGAGATTGATGGTGCAGTATCATACACTTTTAAACAACCAGATCTGCGGGGAATTCACTCACTGTCGCTAAGGCAGCACCAAGCCATGAAGGATCCAGGTCCCATGAAGGATCCAGGTCCCATGAGGGACCCAGTCACACATCCAGCATTGAAGATTACAATTCAACATGAGATTTGGGAGGGGACAGATACCCAAACTGTGTCCACCACCTTCTCTCTCCAAGGCTTGACTGCACCGATGCCTCTGGAAAGAGACAACATGCAACACATTGTTTAAACATGTTGAATTTGGAAGTCAGACAGTGCTGAATTATGTAAGAATTAAAAAGCTTAGCATACACAATTGATGCACCCAGAATTAAATATTCACTTGGCTGTATGACAGTCGTGTCAAACTCAAGGTATTTGGAAATGAGCTAATCTCCAGTTCTATACTGGCTTTCCCTGTGGTCCTCATCTCAATGAACTGCACCTAGTAACTCAAGAGAGAGATCTAAAAGTCAGCCTAGGAGCCTCCATGTCTCCCTCCCCACCTTAGCGCACCTCCATACCCCACAAGTTTCTAGAAAGTGTGCTTCTGCAGTTTTTCTTCCTCATAACTTGAGACTCCAAGAACCTAGAGCCACTACTGCTAGAACATATAACTTTTCCTGCCTCTCTGTCCTTCCCCATGCCATGTCTCCTGCTTGGAATGACTTCTCCTCCATGTTTACAAGGCGACCTCTATTGATCTTTCAAGTCTTTGCTCAAATGTTACTTCCTCCAGGAAGCATTCCTTGACTGCTGCGGGTTGACTTGGATGTTTCTTCCCAGGCTCACTGCAGTTACCTTAGTGATAGGCTAGAATTAGCCAATTCTAGGACTTACGTTCCTAGGAAATGCTTCCTTATGACCATATTTCAGTTTCCCCTCCTGCCACCCTGTCTCTTACCTTGTGGCATGGCTTTAGATAGTTGCCCAGAATCAGAAGCTTCATGCATAGGTGACTGATTAAGAAAGTTTTCCCAGGGAAGACTGGGAGGAGAGTAAGGGAAGTTGGACAAGGAAGGGGAGAAAGCCAAGGTGCAACTTCTGACCAAGTCCAGCGAAAAGCGACTGCAACCTGAGCCTTCACTGCTCAGGGTGGGCCATATATCACAGGTGTTCTAAGTTAGCCAAGGAAGCTGCCAGCCAACAGTTAGGGGCTGGGATCGGGAGGAGAGATTTGGAAGTAAAATTTCAGGAACTTTTGTCTCTCTGCACATGTAGGCAAAGGATAGAGGTGCACAAAAATGGTATAAAAAGATCTGAAAGGGTCTAGCCAGAGCACTGTCACTGTCAGCTGCATGAAGAAAATACCCCTATTGGCCAGGCACACTGGCTCACACCTGTAATCCCAGCACTTTGGGAGGCCGAGGTGGGCGGATCACCTGAGGTCGGGAGTTCGAGACCAGCCTGACCAACGTGGGTAAACCCCATCTCTACTAAAAATACAAAATTAGCCGGGCATGGTGGTGTATTCCTGTAATCCAAGCTACTCTGGAGGATGAGGCAGGAGAATCGCTTGAACCTGGGAAGCAGAGGTTTCAGTGAACTGAGATCCCATCATTGTACTTCAGCCTGGGCAACAAGAGTGAAATTCAGGCACAAAAAAAAAAAAAAAAAAAAAGACCCCACTAGACTCAGTTTAGCCTTAGAACTTAAAGATAGGACTTCTACCATGGCAATTCTGTCTTGTACATTTTTTGAAAAATTTCTGTGTGTGTATGTGTGTGTGTGTGTGTGTGTGAGAGAGAGAGAGAGTGTGTGTGTGTATGTGTGTGTTTTGCTGGGATTCAGTAGGATCTAATACTCTTGTTTTTATATAAGCAAGTTCTAAATACCTCAGAGTTATGACCCTGAGTAGAACCCAGATTCACATTCTCAGCTGTAAAATCTCACAGAAAGATAAGGGAAATAGTGCCAGCCTCTTCTCACTCTGCCCCTAATTCTCACTTCCACCAAATCCCATCCTAGAGCTGGAAGTTTTACACAGCCTACCTTCATGATCCATCCCTCCCTTACACCCTTGCAGTTCATCCTCACTGCAGATCCCACACACTGGACTTTGGGGTCATCGTCAGAGTAGACCGTGTAAAACTTCCAATTCGAGAAGATTTCACTAGATCTGACTTTACTGTTTCAGAAATGTGTAGCCCCTTCTACCAACAGGTAGAATTGTACACTGTCAGACAAAGTACACTCTGGAGCCAAGCATGCCTGGGACAAGTTGTTTAACCTCTTAGTGCCTTGGTTTCCTCATCTATAAAATGGAATTAATTAAAATACCTATCTTATAGATTCTTGTGCACATTAAGTGGGATAATATAAAAAGATATTGGATGTTGATTGAATAAGTCATAGTATTTCCATCAACACAATGTAATAAAATAGAGTCATAAAAAATAATGAGGAAATTCTGTAGTAACTGATATGAAGTGATTTCCAGGATATACTGAGTGAACAAAAATACAAGATGCAAAGTATATCAATTATACTACCTTTCATATAAAAAGGGAGAGATGGGAGAAGCACGGTGGCTCATGCTTGTAATCCCAGCACTTTGGGAGGCCGAGGTGGGCAGATCACAAGGTCAGGAGTTCAAGACCAGCTTTACCAACTTGGTGAAACTCCTTTTTTACTAAAAATAAAAAAAAAAAAATTAGCCAGGTGTGGTGGTGCATGCCTGTAATCTCAACTATTCGGGAGGCTGATGCACGAGAATTGTTTGAACCTGGGAAGTGGAGGTTGCAGTGAGCTGATATTGTGCCATTGCCCTTGAGCCTGGGCAACAGAATGAGACTCCATCTCAAAAAAAAAAAAAAAAAAAAGGAGAAGAGAGGGATGGATCATGAAACTTTCTATTATCTACTAGCATAAATAATACCGTAGTAAATAGCCTTGTGCATATGTTGTTTGGTACTTATGGCAATGTATCTTTAGGATAAATTCCTAAAAGTGGGATTGCAAGAGTCAGAGAGTAAGTGCATATGGAGTTTTATTAGCTGTTGAGAGGTACTCTTCCATAGAAGTTGTACGATTTTGCATTTTCACTAGCAATATAGATTCATTTAATCTTAACACCAAATGTGAAGGAGAAAAGAGCATTGGTTTTCCTATTTTATAAATAAGGAAATGTAGGATCCCATATAATAATTATACATAATTGATTATAATTAATAACATAACATATACTATAATTAATATAATTGATCTTTAATACAATTAATTACATATAAACATATTTAACATCATCCTTTTTAAAAAGCTCATGTACTTTAATTGTAAGGAAGACTGACATATCTCAGGAATGAGTACCTTTATTAAGCGTACATTTCTAATGAGCCGATCATCGGGTTTCTCAGGTCGCAGTAAACTTGAAGGAGGCTGCATGTTGCTAAGGATGAGTACATCTGTAGTAACAAGATATGGCACATAAAACCTGGAAAATGGAAAAGTGAGGGGAAAAGCAGAAAAAGCAATAGCAACAAGGCAGTAAGTAAAGCATTCCAGAGTCATTTAGTGTTAAGGGTAAACGCTATTCACACCTTAGTGATTCCTGAAGCCATCCCTTTATTAGAGCTCAGCACATTTGAGATGTTTACAAAGATGATCTTGAGATATTATAAAGGGTAAAGAGAAATGCAGTTACGTTTTTTGGATGCCCACTGTGAGCGAGGCATTGTGCTGATACTCTCCATTATTACAGTCAATTCTCAAACACTGTGATGTAGATACTATTGATACAGTTGTGCAGAAGAAGAATAAATAGATTTCAAAATCTTACCTGAAGGGCCTTCCCTGACCACCTGATATATAATTCTATTCCTGGCCAAAATCTCTACCATTCTTTTCTGCTTTATTTCTCTCTACTTCGTGCTGTATATTGATTACAAGAGACATCAGCTTAATGAGGATAGAAACTTTGTTTTGTTCACTCTGCTAATCCATAGTATGGGCTCATTAACTGTTGTTGAATGAATAGATGGATGAATGAATGACTATCCCACATCAAATTCCATACCCTTTTCATGACACCACAGGGTCCCATTTATGGGTACTGTTTGTGAAGTTGGGGGATATGTATGACATATGTTAGCTATATTCAAAGCTAACTCAAACTAACTTGCTTCTCTTCCCACCTCCAAGTTCAGTAGTACCACATTTATTGCTTCAAATCAACCATGGTGTAAATATTTACACCATGGAAATTGGCAAACTTTTATTTTTATTTTTCCCTGAAGAGCAAGTTGTGAATCATTTAGTAGCATACCACTGCATAGTTCAATTAAAAGGCTATAATGACTTAAGTTGTAAAGATTTATCTGGAACAAATATGTTTTCTCCAACACAACTAGGAAATATAAGACTAAAATTATCTAAATCTCTCTTATTAACACTGTTCCAAGCCTTTTTATAATGAATGAAAAAGCAAATATGGCAACTGAAGTGCAGAGACCAAAAAAAAAAAAATTAGCTAGACAAGAAAAGTAGCAAGAGAAACTCC